ACTGAGTCCTCCAGCAGGATGCTTTGTCATTCCCTAAATATGCCATTTGTGTTCATGCCTTTGGGCCCTTTGCTTATGCCCTTTATCTGAAACATCTCCTTTTCCCATTGTTTACCTCGAACTGCAATTTACCTTACAGCCAGTTCAGCTCTCACCTCCTGTGGTGCCAGTTGGGTCCCAAGAGGGTAATCCTTTAAAGTGGGGGCAGGTATTCGGCACATTTTATAGGTGCTGCTCAGAGTGGTCCATTAAAAATGTTTCCTGAACTGCCCCAGCCGGTTTGGCTCAGTAGCATGCCTTTGGGCCCTTTGCTTATGCCCTTTATCTTAAACATCTCCTTTTCCCATTGTTTACCTCTAACTACAATTTATCTTAAAGGCAGTTCAGCTCTCATCTCCTGTGGTAGCCAGTTGGTTAAGCATCTCTGTCCCAAGAGGGTGACCTCTTTAAAGGTGGGGGTAGGTATTTGGCACATTTTATAGGTGCTGCACAAAGTGGTCCATTAAAAATGTTTCCTGAACTGCCCTTGCTGGTTTGGCTCAGTGGCTAGAGCACCGGCCTGCAGACTGAAGGGTCCCAGGTTCGATTCCAGTCAAGGGCACAGGCCTGGGTTGTGGGTTCGATCCCCAGTAGGGGGCGTACAAACGGCAGTCATTCAATGATTCTCTCTCATCATTGACGTTTCTCTCTCTCCCTCTCCCTTCCTCTCTGAAATCAATAAAAATATATTTTAAAAAATGTTTCCTGAATGGATGTGAGTAGATTTGCTTTGGAAAATTGATTTAAAATATGTATATAACAGCTTTATAAAAGCAGTCTAAATATGAAAGGGATATAAGAATTATTTATGAGGGCCTTGGCTGTGTAGCTCAGTTGATTAGAGAGTCATCCTAATATGCCAAGGTTGCAAGTTCTACCCCCAGTCAGGGCACATACAAGAATCAACAATGAATGCATGACTAAGAGGAACAACAAATCGCAGTTTCTCTCTCTGTCCCTTCCCTTTCTTCTCTCTCTCTCACAAATCAATCAATAAAAAAATAATTATGAGAATTATTATGTAATTATATGAAAGACAGGCTTTTATATGAGCACTCATTGTTCACACTAATTGTGTCTACTTCACCTGTGTTTAACATTTAATATGCTCGTCTCTTGGTGCCTGGTAGAGGAGGATGGTGAGTGAGGTCATGGACTGTGGTGTGGGACGCTTCAGAAAGTCCAGTTTCAGAACTTGAGCATTTGTTAGTGAGTGTTCAGTAGGTGGTAGCTGTCATTTTTTAATGAGGCAATGTATTGTAGCAATGGAGTTTAGGCTTTAGAATCACACCAGCTTTGGTTCAGGAGTGAGTTTAGCCTGTGTAGTGTGACTCAGTGGTTGAGCGTTGACCTATGAACCAGGAGGTCATGATTCGATTCCTGGTCAGGGCCCATTCCTGGGTCATAGGCTGGATCCCTACTTGGGGGGAGGAGGAAGGGCGGGGGGAGGGGGCGTGCAGAAGGCAGCCGATCAGCGATTCTCACCATTGATGTTTCTACCTCTCCCTCTCCCTTCCTCTCTGAAATAAATAAATATACATATATATGTTTTAAAAAGAATGAGTGTCATGATTCGATTCCTGGTCAGGGCCCATTCCTGGGTCATAGGCTGGATCCCTACTTGGGGGGAGGAGGAAGGGCGGGGGGAGGGGGCGTGCAGAAGGCAGCCGATCAGCGATTCTCACCATTGATGTTTCTACCTCTCCCTCTCCCTTCCTCTCTGAAATAAATAAAAAAAAATATATATGTTTTAAAAAGAATGAGCTTAGCCACTTACAAGCTCGGTAATTTTGGAGAGATTATTTTACTTTTAGGAGCGCATGGTTTCCGTATCGGGAAGATAAGAACAACGTTACTACTTCCCTTATGGCTTTTTGCAAGTATCAAGTGAGATAATCCATGCGAAGCATTTAGCTTCATATCTGCCATGTGGGGTTAGAGGTTATATTTTCAGTGTTACTTATGTTGAAAATGAGCCATGGAGGAGGATAAAATGTTGAAAGTTTCTGTCCCTTGCTTTGAGAGGAAGGACTAAGAACTCTTCCCTCCGTTTTCTTCAACTCTTATGAGAAATACTGTGAGAAATACAGGGGTTTTGTTGTTGTGGCTGTGGCTGTGGCTGTGGCTGAGCATCCAGGTGGGTGTGCTGATGTCATATCACCACTTGGTATGACATTCTCAGAACTTTGCTTGTAAGCGACTTATTTATTTTACATATTTTTATTGATTTCAGAGAGGAAGGGAGAGGGAGAGAGAGACAGAAACATCCATGATGAGAGAGAATCATTGATCGGCTGCCTCCCGCACAGCCCACACTGGGGATGGAGCCCACAACCCAGGCATGTGCCCTTGACCGGAATCGAACCCGGGACCCTTCAGTCCACAGGCCAATGCTTTATCCACTTGAGCCGAACCGGCTAGGGCATAAGTGACTGATTTGTTAAACATCTGTACCTGTAGAAACATTTGTACTTGAAGAAAACTGTGACACTCCCACATTGTGGTCAGAGTGATTTTCTGAAACCCAGACCTGCCCAGGTCATTCCCCTTTTAAAACCCTGCAGTGTCCCCCATATCTAGGATGAAAGAAAGGTTTCATAGCCTGACAGGCAGGCCTTGCACCATCCAGCCCACTGACTTCTTCATTTCGCCCCCCCACCCCTACCCCCGCCCCGCCCCAGCCTTCCCCTTGCACTTTACCTCCCAGTGTCAAAATGGACTGAGATAGTTTGGGAGCATTGGGGCATTAAAGAGAGAGGGAGTGGGAGGTGAGAGGGGAGTGGCGGAGTTGGTGTAGACTAGATCTTTAATGAGCTTTCCAACCGTGAGATTCTATGAATAGAAGGCAGTGTTAAACGTGAAAACTGGTAAAAAGTTGTGTGGCCAATGCTTTTTCTTTTGTGCATGAATTATTATTACTTTTTGTACTTAAATAAAA